TCCACATAATAATAAACACCCCTTCCCCCCCCCGCCCTTAAAAAAAAATCGCGTGTGCCCTCCAAAGGCGGCTCCACAGGAAAAGTCTACCGACAAGGCCCGTTGCATTGTAGACTTTCTGTCGGGTACCTGGAGAACTCTGTAGACTTAGCAGGTGGCACCTGACATTGTACCCTGTGACTGCGTTTTGATTCGCGGCGAGGCAGCTGCCAGAAATGTGTTTTCTTGCAAACCGCTCAGAAGCTGCGACCGTCGCATGCAGGCAGTTGCCAGCGAAGCCAGCCTAACTGGGGAGTCTGCTCCGCAGATGAAAGACGCATTGGCTCTCGAGGAGTGATTGTGAAACTTCAGACGGAACATTGCACTCGGAATGCGCCCATGGTCAGGACAGAAGTCTGGAGTTGCAAGGAGCAGATCGAGTTCACTGCTTGTTCTCAGGCAGGCATGGCAGACTTTCGGAGATGTTGATCGGTGTGAGTTTCTCCCAGTTTGTCAGGTACTCGAATTGTTCGTGCATCTGAGGGGAGCAACAAAGATGCTCAGAACTTAGAATACGGACATTGACCTTCTTTGCCACTGAAGCAGAAGAAGCAGAAGCATGCCAGCAGATTAAGGCTGAGCAGACCTCAGGCTGGAAACGTCCAAAGTTTCTCTCTGGAGCAAAGACGCGACTTGCAGGTGCTGGCCTTGCAGCGTCACAGGCCATTCCTTCTTCTTGCTTGTATTCTTGAAAGGGGGCGGTCCCTGGCAAAAGGTACCTGCAACCCCAAATGGAGGCTGCTTGGTCTTTGTGGTGGCAGCCTCAAGATCCTCAAGCTTCTTGTTACTGCGCGTGACTGTCTGAACGGTACTAACCGTACTCAAGCAAATCGTTTGGAGGCTCGAACAGGATTTGCCTCCTCGCAGGGGCAGCTCCTACAGATGATAGAGTTCTCCCAAGACAAGGCAGGATCAGACAACATGAGAAGGTGTTGGGAAGACATGCTGCGGAAGCTACTTCAGTTGAGCCTTTCTAAGGTGTCTGGAGACACTAAGGAGGCATCGTGGTATGCTATGGCGTCATGTGACTGCTTAAGTGATGGCTTTCTGTTATCTTACAACACCAGGTAATCATTGCCCTGCTGATACTTCTGGGCTTTGCTCTTGTGGCTGCAGGCGTGGAGTGAGAAAAGTTGCGCAATGGAGAGAATGGAGGATGAATTGGCAGGTTACGTCTTGAAGGTCGGCTTGGAAAAGGGCGACAAGACTCCGCACGAGCTATTGATCAAGCCGGGAGAAGAGACTTCTTTCGTGCCGCAGTCAAGCAGTGCTGGAAGTGGCTAAGGTGTGTCCTGATCCTCACTGCTGTGGTGCCCAAGCAGCTGCCCATACAGACAGCAATGGCAGTCAACACGGTGCGGCAGTGCAACGAGGGCTTTGAGAAAACATTGTGCTTTATCTGGCAGGCGCTTATGGCACTATCCCGAGCAGGGGTGTATTGCACGGAGCCGTATCGGGTTCCACTTGCTGGCAAGGTGCGCAACTCATCTAAGCACGTCATGGGCATGAGATACCCTCAGAGCCCTGGCAGTTAACGCACTGCCTTTTCGACAAGACTGGCACCCTCACCACGGACACCCTTGTGCCGGTAGGCCTGATATGCCTGATGAAGATCCTTGTAGTTGAAGGTTATTGAAATGTGCATGTTGCAGATGAGCGATAGGTGTTGTGAACGCTGGCAGCCAGCCAGAGCAGGACCATCCACCGAAGGCGGAGACTGGAAGCCTGCCTTGCGCATGAAAAGACTATCTCAGCTGCAGAGGTGAAGGTCTCTGATGCTGAAGCAGCAGCAGCTCTGGTTCTGGCTGCTTGCCATTCTTTGGCCATGTTCTAAGCGTGTTTTAATGCTCCAAGCTGGCATGATGGTGACGGGCCGATGTGCGGTATATGCACAGGTCCAGGTTGATGGCAAGCTCACCGGAGATCCTATCGAGGCTTGTTCTTTGCCCTATGGCAGTGGAAAGCAGGTTGCTGCGGTGGCAGGGAATGGAATCATTTGCTTGGAGGTTGCTGCTTTGCAGGGCGTTGGTTGGTCTTATGACTCTCAGGCCATGTTGGGAAAGAGCTGGAGATGCAGAGTCGAGCTTTATATGTCCAACAGGAGGAAGTGGCTACTCCAGCTCCAACTACTGTGGGCAGCTTAGTCGACCTGACAGATACTCGTATGTTGCAGTTTCTTGTGAGCCTCTTCTTCAGTTCGACTTGATTCTTGAGGATCTACCTGATGGCAGCACTGGCAGCGCAAGCAGCCGTGTGGTTCTAAGTGCCTCCATTCGGGAAGGGACATCATCATCTAAGCAGTCGACTGCCAGGCGCTGGGATCAAGCGCGCCCGCATTCTGCAGCTCTTTCCTCAGTTTTGACAATCCTAAAGGTTGTCGCAACAAGCGCAGCTTCATTCAGGCGTTTTCATTTCGCTTCGCAGCTGCAACGGATGGCAGTGATTGCAGAGGTGTTGCCGCCACGTGATGTTCAGATAGATGGCAACAAGCCACGGGGCCTCAGGTTTAGGCTCCTACACATGGCAATACTATCCTCAATTTTTTTTTAATATTCATGCCATACATTCTAGACCTCGGCCTCATCAAAATGGATGAATACAATCGGCCTTGGATCCTACGCTAAGAGGCGAGATAGAAAGATGTCGCATGACTTGCTTCAACTTGTTGTGCTGGCCAGCTTGAGAAAACAGGGACAAGCTCCTGTCCAAACTGGGTTTTCACGTTCGTTTCCTCGGCTAAGATCCTTGCTGGAACCCAGGATAGACCTGCAATTGTGCTGATGAGGCTCACGCATGGGACGCGCGCGTGCCCCGCAAACGCAAGCATCATCACCACATTGCCAGCGCTGTAAATTGCAGATTTTGCACGGTTTGTGAGGAATGTTTGCACGGCTTTCCAATCCTTAACTATCGAGAACACTGAATCTGGTAAAATGTTGCCTTGACATTACAAAATGAAAAATGCAGCCAAAAGCTGCGGTACGGGTATCTCCTGTACCGTATCAAGCATGGCTGTAGCTGGGCGCATCCGCACTCTGGCTCAAACCGCCCAGCGACCCCAGAGGCAGGTTCTCCCCGGCAAGAACAACTGGAAAGTCGTAGCAGGAGTCATCAGCCAGATGGGAAGCAGTTTCTCTCGAGCGCAGCGGATGTTGCAGGATATTGCAGGAGCGGCAGCGTGGTTAGATTACAGGTGCTGTCTTGTATTCGAAATTGTCGCGTCGCCTATGGTTTCGGGGACTGGCACGAACAAATTCCTATCGGAATTCGACGCGCTATGACCGCAATGATGTGCTACTGTTGAAATCTTTGAGAGGAGCCGCCGCCGAGTCATAACAACCCAAGCCTCGCCGCGCTGCCGGCATTGGCTGCTGCCAAGATACAACTCCGCGTTCCCATCAGCAAAACTACGAAACATCGCGTGGACACACACATGCCCAGGTGCCCAGAGCCCCGCTGAATCCAAAAAGCTTGGTGTCCACCCCGCTCTTGCAACTATTGGTCTCGTGCCCACGTTTGCGTTGCATCATGTTGCTGGTTCATGTGCTGGCTGCATTGCAGACGCTGAAGCACTCGAGGCAACCTCATCCCCACGCTTCTGGGGCCCGGTTTGCAAGGCCCCAGTACCTCAGTACCTCTCCTACCCTTTGCTACAGGAGTCCATGAGTCTGACCATCCAGCACTCCACGACGTGGTGAACTTCAAGCCTGCTACATCCATATCCGGATGATCAGCTGCGTAAAGCTGCGTAATGCTGAGCTTATAATTCCATTCCCGTGGCAGCGCAGGCCTTGCAAGGAAGCATTCTGTGGGCCACCCACACCCAACAGGAACACAAATCCTTAAACACAATCTGACGACTGGGGGGCATTTACGCGACCTCACTTTGCACACATATATATCCGATTGTTTGGACTTGTCACAGAACATGTTTTGCATAAGTCCTTAGGCACCAAAGATCACTCTCAGCCTTCGCGCGGCCCGCGGAGAATTCTGCTCTGCGGTTCCATTGAGCTGCAGTAGCCATAGACAAGCCAGGCAGATGCTTAGTAGCAGTCATGTTTCCTGTTTGACCTTTGGCAGGTGGCTGTCAGCGATAATGCCATTCTCAACCTCAACATGGAAGGCACGTCTCAACCTGTGGAATGCCAGGAGGCGGTTGCAAACTGGAGCAGGTCAAGCTGGCAATTACGTTCTGGTCAAAGGATCGCCGGAGGCCAGGGTGGCAAAAAAACGGCATGCTTCTTTTTCTGTAGCCATGCTTGAGAGGCCTTGAAGCCCTTGTTGGCTGCAAATGCTGCACCGCGGTGGGCCGCACACATCCAACACATCATTACTTGCATTCAATTTGCATTCGGCTTGTCCTGACTGCAAGCCTCCCAGCTTTCAGATCTTGCAGGTGGTACGACAGATCTCATCTGGATTTAGCAGAGCGTGGGCTTCGAGATCTCCTTGTCTGTTTATATTAAGGGTTCGCAAAGATCTCAGGAATGTACTTTCTTTGGAGAGGTTTTGCCAGACGACTTGCGAAGCCCAGCCAAGCCAGGTCCTTGCACTTGCGTATCGGCATCTCCCTGCAGGGCAGGAGAAGCTGACAAGGGAAGAGGCAAGAAGCCTGTGCAATGCTCCATGCACAGACAGCACAGTGTATCATGTGCTTAAATGAGGCGGAGAGGGAGCTGCTCTTTGCGGGCTTCATTGCCTTCGAGTGCCTTGTCCGAAAGGACTCAGGGCTGGTGGTTGGAGCTCTGCAGGAGTCGGACCACAAGGCCAGGCCAGAGTGGCCTACAACACGAGTCAAAACGAGCGGACGGGACGTTCACCAGAAGTAAGCCCCGAAAACCTGCAGCGTGCAGATGCGTGCAGGTGATCATGGTCACGGGCGACTCACCTCTGACAGTTGCTTGCCTGCACACGCATCTACGCCTGTAAACCCTGTGCAACCAATGTGATCTGCTCGTAACTGAGGCGCTTCATATAGCTCGCACATGCGGAATCTCGCACCCACATTTGCCTGGTTTGCTTCTTTCGCTAAAGGCTGGCTTGTAGCTAGCTTTGCTATCTGTCTGCCGATCCATGATGACGGAGCTCTGCATCTTACTGTCACCAGTTTGCCACCGTTGCGCAGGCTGGTCAGGTGTTGCCTGAATGGGTTGTGGCTACAGGCCGATCTGGTGAAGTGTAGCAGTTTGAGTCATACACCGCTAGACCTACAGGTGATCGCTGCGGTGACTGCTTCCCTGTCACTGTAGACGGGATGGACAAGCTTGCGAGCGAGTATGCCCTCATGACAACAGGACTCAGCTGCACAGGTACATTCTCCAACTTTCGCAGCTTTGAATACAAATAATGGAAGGTGTCCTTGCAGAGGGTATTTGGGAAGGGGAGTTCGTGTGTCTGTGGGGCTTGTGCCCTGCAATCCATAACTCGGCTGTTTGACACCACCGGTATGCACTGGCACCTTCTACATGGATGTTGGCCTTGAAACGCTTCAACAATGGACTAGTGAGCTGCGTCAGATTTCACGATGACTGGCTCTGTAGACAGACCTTGTAAGATCCTAAAGGAGAAGCATTGGATGCAGCTGTGGCCGCAGAGCTGAGAGCTGAGAGAACTTCAATCGGAAACTGAAGTCAAATCTCAACAAGACATCGATGCCGAAGGCCTGGGATCTGGGCGAAAGTTGACGAGATCCGTGTATTCGCCAGGATGACTCCGCAGGGAAAGGCCGCCATGTGACGTGGCAACAAGGAAGTGATTGGGAAAAAACTGCTGGGGCTGTCGCACAGGCCAAAGTCATTGAAGAGCTTCAGAAGCAATCAAGGCCGAGTGGAGCTTTGTTGCATCCAAACCATATTCAGAATCGCTGAAGTTAGACGACAGAAGCAGTTCAACAGGAGAAAGGTTTGCTAGGCGCACAAACCTGGTGCACCCGTCCCAGGCATGTCCTCATGTGTGGAGATGGTGGAAATGATGTCGGGGCTTTGAAGCAGGCATTCAGCCGCAAGGAGTTTGGTCTGTTCCTATTCAATGCATTCGCAGCTTCAGGCAGATGCGGGTTTAGCATTGCTGGCGGGCTATGGGAATGCCTGGAGCTTGGGCAGTTCCTCCAGATTGGCGCCGTAATACAAGTACTGTTGGTGGAGCATGGATCATCGATCCGCTATCTTTGAGGGCTTTCCTATCTGTAGGGTTTTGAAGGTGTCCCCGGGTAAGGGAGGGGGTTGTGTAACAATCTGCGGCGTTGGGTGGCGGGCAGTTTATCTTCAGTGCTCCCGCTGATGCTCGCTCGCGTGGCTCTGCCGCCAGCATCTGCCAGCACGTGGCAGCTCCAACAATTTCTGTTGGAGGAAATCGAGGACTGGTCTCCACATTCCTGTTCCAAAAGCATCCACTCCGGGAAAGATGAGTTAAGAACGTTCCTATTACCAGAGCAAGCCGTTTCCCAGAGCATCAAGGCTGGCCAAGATCGGTCTCCATGAGCATCCATAACATGCCTGCTACCAGAACATGCGGTCTCCCGGAGCATTCGTGTGACGGAAGCATCCATGCTAGGCAAGATACTAAAGTTCGTGTTGCCAGACATGACGTGCCTGCTACCGGAGCATACAGTCTCCCCAAGCAGCTGTGCTACGAAAGCATCTATGCGGGCTAAGATGACAATGGTCGATTACCAGCACACACAGCACACGCGATCCCAGACTTGCTTTGAGCGGAAAAGATCCCGGACAAGTACTTAGTTCTGCAGCCGATCAAAAACTATTTTTCCAGCCTTTACCCGTTAAAGCAAGCCGACACCACCATAAAGTGCACCTATTGTATGTCCACAAATACCACGGCAATTTGCCACGGCGATTTATCATCCGTGAACTACGTAGTTTCCAGAGGTTTGGAAGTGGTTCCTTGCAAATGGCATTGCTAAGAGACGCAAAGTCCATCTACCTGCCTGACCCGCTCCTGCGTTCTAGGTCAACACAGCGGACAACAACGACATCGACAGTCCATCTGAGAAAGTAGACAATGTTCCGTTGGAAAAGCAGGCAAGGTATGACATCAGATGAGGGAGGATGCAGCTAGAGTTGCAAGCCGAAGTCTCATGTTTTCTCTTGACGAGGCCGAAGAGGCATTGAACAAGCAAGATGCGGAGCTCGCAAAGCGGAACAGACGAGCTGCAAAGGACAAGCCGTGCCAAGCCACGATGCCCAACGCCACCAAGTGGAGGTGAGCCAAGAACCGCCAAGCGCATCAGGACAGACAGAAGTTCCTGTGGGAGAAGCAAAAAGAACTGGCTGAACTTCAGAAGCAGCGAGACGCCATGAAAACCTGCTGAATACAGTATTTCATGTGACTGAGTTTGATGGAAATTAGGTGGCTCGAGGAGGAGATGCAGGCTTCATCTCGATTTGACACAATCGCTACGCGTGTCAAGAGGTGCAGTCTGAGCGGCCCACATTCTGCAAGAGGCACGGGCAAAGAATGGCGAGACTGGTGTTTTCTCGCAGGCCACCTGGGGCGTCGAACTGAACTGCAAAGTATGCACTTCGCAACGCAAGTCGTTTTTAGGTGGGAGCGATGAAGACATCGATGGGCCGCTACACGGAAGAGCTCAAGAGGGTAATGAAGGACCTCACTCTATATTAGTGCTGATTTTGCAACATCTTGCAGCCATGTGCCCGCCCTGCCCATCTTTACATTACTTTTGTGACAAGGGTGCTTTAGCACACGCAGTGATGTCTGTTTCTCATCTTAGCCCTTGCGTAGTGTTCTGGTTCAAGCCCCAGCTTGATGTGAGGGCCTGGTTGACCCCTCATGGGGATCCCGATGCTTGGCGCTCCACGGAGCTGGCGGTAGGTGACTATGTGGAGCTCGTTGCCTACGACAACACGTATGTCCGCCAGGGAACCGTGGTCGCCCGCTTGGACAAGGTCGAAGGCCAAACTTGGCGTGGACAGTGGGCCGAGGAAACGTTCCTTCAGGTGTCGGACGAGCACCTTACCTGGTGGCTTGACCATCGTCAAGGAAAAGACGAGAACTGGCAATTTGAGGTTCAGGCCCAGCATGCTTGCCAAGAGAACAGGCGAGGACGAACCTTCGACCTCCACACTGACAGGTTCCGGGTCTTGATTCTGGGCGACCTCGCCGACAAGCGCATCGAATGTGTGGCACAGGGTCCGCGCCAAAAATTCGTGAAGGAAGAGAGCCAGAGGCTGTCTGGTGATCACCAAGGCGAGCCAAACCCGGATGCCGCTCCCAGCAGATCAGGGCTCGCTTTTGAAGATGAGGGAGCTGCCGGCCACGGCCGAGGGAACGAGGTGTGGTCAAAGCTCACGGAGCTGGAGAAGCAGCTAGAGCAGGGCAAGGCCGGCCGTAAGCGCAAGACAGACGACGCTGAGCCGGCCAAGGCCGAGGTCCTTATGGGGAAGGTATCCAAGCCAGTGGTGGCAAGCCCTTGGGCTGGTTTGGCCAAAACCTCCCGATGCGTCGGGGACGACGGGTCTGACAGCACCTCTACGGAGGGGAAGCGGGATACACGCCCCCGGCAAAAAGACAAAAAAGGAAGGAGAAGGCAACGTCTGTTGATCGTGGGCCCTTTGAAGTGGGCCCGAAAGTGACATATGGTGGCCAAATGTCTTCAAGCGATTCTTCAGGTGAGGACCAGGATTTTCGCGTGGCCCATCCTTCTCAGGGCGGCTCCAGAAAATGCAGACCGTGACAGCCAGAGAGGGAGGGGCGTTTCAGATGTACAATCAGGGGACATTGGCTCCACCCGTCGCGTCCAACTGGTTCATGAAGCTCCTCAACCCAGGGCGCCACTTTAGTTGCGAGGAACGAGCAGGTGGGCCGCCAAGGAGCGACAGGGCAAGCTAAAGATGAGGCGTCTCCAGAACCTGGAGGGGAAAGGGGACGGAAAGGACAACGCCAAAGGAAATCCAAAGGGAACACCAAGGGAGGGGGCAAGAAGGGGAAGAGAAAGAAAAAAGAGAATGCTCCCCGCGACTGAAGTCAAGGCTGAGACATTGGCCTCCTTCAGCACTCTTGCTGCTGACGGCGTGCCGTGGGGGGACTGGTGGGAGGCAAAGGTCAAGGACGCAGGCAGACTATTGTCGCAGGCTATGGGCAGTCTGGGCTGGGAATTTTCAGCCGCTCTCATTCGAACCCCGAGAGGCTGCCCCCGGACGCCGAGTCCACCTCAACCTCTGCGAGCAGCCATGGTGACATCCTGCCCATCCACCCCGCCAGGATCCAGCCGGGCCTTCCAGGGATAAACTACCAGAATGTTGATGGGTGGTCGAATCCGATTTGCTTGCGTGCAGGCGCCCCTCTTTCTGACGCCCAACTTGTCAAGAGCCTTGCTGAGCCCATTCATCGCTTCGTTGCGCCTGAGACCAGGATGTCTCCTGCTGCGGACTTTGGTTGGAAGCTCAAGTCGAAGCGGTTCGACTACATGGGCAACCCGGTCGAGCACATGGAGAACCTTGTTGCGGACAAGGTGGTCAAGGCGTGGCCCACTCCTGGGAATGCGGCTGTGGTCGACCTGAAAGCTTGCCTTCCCGATGAATTGGCTTCGAAGCTCGATGATCCTCACTCTTTCCTGACCCCCAAAGTTGATCTACCTGAGCGCCGCCGAGGCTCTAAGGTTTGGGCCACAGAGGATGAGTGGTTCACGGTGATCAAAGCCGGTCTCTTTGCGGCGGTCGATGACAAGGACATCCCCGCGAATAGGCGTGGCGTTGCTATCACCATCCTGTACCCCGTGAATGATGCCTGATGCCGTGCGTCTGCTTCCCGGAGCCCAGGACACAGTTCCGTGCGTCGGCCAGCTGTCTTGGCGGAGCTGGAGTCCTACATTGCCATGGACTCGGAGGACCTGCAGTCGGCGATCAACCTCTTTAAGCCGGACTGCTGGCTATTTATCTCGTTCGCGCAAAAAGTTTGAGGAGATGCTGTGGGAGGATTCGAGTGGGAGCAGCTCCGACCTGCCTTGCGGTTGTTCCGAAACAGTGGACGTCTGCCGTCACCCACGTCTGCCGTCACCTTCATCCAGGCTGCGATTCGACCCATCGCCTACAGCCTTGCCAAGGTGCCTTTGTGGGGTTCGGAAGGATGCTCCTCTTCCAGACTGCAACCTTGGGAAGCGGCTTTGCGGTGCTCTGAGAGGGACCTTTCGCGGAGGCTGACCTGGCTCCCCTTTATCTCCGATCATCAGCTGTACTGATACTGATGCATCCCCTACGGCCCTGGGGGGGGGGGTTCCTCGATCGCGCGTATGTTCAAGTCGGTCTCTTTGGGCATTCCAGGATTCCAGAAGCTAAGGAGCTCGGGGACAAGTGTGGCCACTGTGAACGTGATTTGGTGGACAAGAAGATGCTCCTTGCCCCCCGCAAGTGTGGCCTCCTTTTCTGCTCTTCAAAGCGCGCCAGGGGCCAGGGGGTGCTCGAAGCCGAAGAGAATGCGCGATTTGGTTCTTTGGAGCACCCTGGGCTCCCACTCCCAACGTGCGGTGCCTTCCTGAGGCTCGAATTGCTGCGGTCGCAAGGAAAAATGGAACTTCTTGCGCAAGCCTGCCTGACCCCGCCGCGACTTCCTTGAACCCTATCGCGTCCATGACGATGGGTATGGCTACTACTTCTTCGATACGGAAGAAGAAGCAGAGTATCTGCGGGGCTTGTGCCTCAACTTCGCCAAAGCCATGGCGGATGAGTTCTCTCACAGGTTCCCTGAACCCTGCGGGGTGAGGGCCATGACCCTTGACTCGCTTCTCTACCACGAGCTCAAGGGCGCCGCCCGCAGATTCCAGAGCGAGAAGGAGACAAGACTGGCTGTCTCCCAGATTGTCCATCCAGCTCATTGAAAGCCTGGAGGCAGGCAAGGAGGAAGAGCATCTTCAAATCCTTCTGCGCCATGCCCACCGCGCAGGCACCAGTGTGCGACTGACCCACCAAGGTGGAGAACTCGATGGCAATCGCCCCTGCCCCTCCCAGCCTTTCGCTGGCTTTGGCGACATGTGTTGAGCTACAAATGTCAGACCTGCGCTTCCTGGAAATCACTGACAAAACCCGGCGGTGGTTTTTATATCCCGGGGTGTTGTTATATCCTTTTTCAAATATCTTCGCGCCCTACGGGGCAGGCATCCGCGAAGCTTCGAAGCCTTGGATGTCTCCTTGGCTGAGTACATTCATCACCTCTATCAAGAAGGAGACCACATCTCCCTTGCTGGATGGACAATCGGCGGCTTGTGCAGGTTCTTTGCGCGCTGCAAACTTCCTCTCCCTACCTCACAATTGTCTCACCGCAGTTGGATTCAACTGGCAGTCCATCTTCCGCAACGGACCATTCCGATTTCGTGGCTGGGTGCCAAAGCTATGGCTGCTTCCGCATGGAAGGTGGGGCGACCTGACCTCGCCATCCTGGTTCTCATCGCATTTGCCTTCCTTTTGCGTACTATGGAGTTGATCTCGCTGTATTTCCATCATGTTCGCCTCTTTCGTGATCAGGGCACGGTGGTTATTGCTACCATCAATTCGAAGACCTCACGAGGCTTGCAACCGTCACTTTCTCTCATGAGCTCCATGAGCCCACTTTCTTGTGGAGTAAGGTCCAGCCAGAAGGTAAAATTTTCACTGGTACAGTGGCCTTCTTCCGTTCTGCCTTTGCAGCGTTGGTTCAATCAGTTGGATTGGCGCCTGCAGTTATCTTCCCTATTGCCTTCGCCGTGGAGGAGCCACCCATTTTTACCACTAGACGCAATCTTTGGGTCGGACCATGGTCCAGGGGCACTGGAAACATCAACACACCTGTCGCATCTATGTCGACGATGCGAGGGCTACTCATGTGCAACTTTTATTGCCCGCCCAAACCACTGCCCTCCAGACTGCTCTCGCTTCTTTTTGGCAAGTGGCGATGCCAAGGTGACTTGCTCCGGACAAATTGGTTTGGGTGTTGGGTGAGTCTACATTAGCTGTGGGTAGCTTCCCGCACCTTTGCAAAGTCAGTGAGTGTTTGGAGGCCTCCTACGGGAGAGAAGGCTACGGCCCAGGCTACGCTCGTGTAGCCACTGAACTTCCTTTGATATTTCACCCAACTTGCGTCTGTGCCAGCCTCTTGGGAAAAGGTCTGTCCGAGCTTTCTGGCTTTTTATGAGGAAAATACTTTTGTAACAAAGGTGCTTTAGCACATGCAATCATGTCTGTTTCTCATCTTAGCCTTTGCGTCGTGTTTTGGTCCTCCTCGTCCCCTCCTCTGCCCTGCGAAGTCAGTGAGTGTGGGGAGGCCTCTTACGGGAGAAAAGGGCTACGGCCCAGGCTAGGCTTGTACAGCCACTGTGCTTCCTTTGATAGCTCACCCAACGTGAGTTTGTGCCAGCCTCTCGGGGAAAGGTCTGTCCAAGCTTGTTGTTTTTTTTTGGAATTTTCAATTACAACTCGCACTTGCTGTAGAGCACGGCAATGAAACATTTAGCTGCAACATTTCTTTTGCCCCTGCTCTTCTCCGTGTCTGCGCGTTGTGCTGGTCTACAATGCGGCGTAATCCTTTTGCATGGACATGTATATTGCATCTCCCGGTCAGTTTCGACTGGTTTGATTGTAGGAGTACGACAAAACTCACGGAAACGTGTATGAATCTTGGCGGCATTTTTGGGGACAGTGGCAGGTTAATGCATGTCGAACAAAATGTCTTTCTTCAATGCCACAAGAGGGCGACTGGAGCAAAGGCGCGATTGTTGGAGTCCTGCAGATATCGAAGGTCCTGATCACATGCCCAGGATGCAACGGACAAGGAGGAAGCGGCAAAGAAAAACCCCGCTGCTGTGAACACCTCACGGTTTTGTCAGCACATGGCTCTCGCATATGGATTTAGTCCAGACCAGGCACTGGAGGAGGCTTCCGGTGGACTTCCCATGGTCAGGCTGGGTGGGGTTATGCTGTGTTGTTGGAATGACAATACAATGTTTACGGACGGAATGTCTTCTCTCGGCCATATGCGGTGACACACGACACGTACTTGCGCAGGCCTGGAGATGCTTCAATTGCAGCACCTTTCACCTCAAAGGCCTTGCTTCAGTCAGCACTCTTGCGTGATTTCGTGGTTCTAACCGCAACAGGCTCCTTCTGTCAAGAACTGTGTGGACTTGATTCGGCAAGGAAGATGCACCCTGCTGTCGGTTGGAGCCTCATGAGGGATGTGCAACGGAGAATCAGACAAGAACTCTCAGGCTATTCATTATGAATAGTGAGGCCATGGCTGAGCCTGCTTTTTGATGATGCTTTGCAGGCGCTGCAGCAGCAACAGATTATGATGTCCACTCCTTAGGTGAAATCTCTCAAGTTGCTCGTTCCACAGTCATGCAGCGTAACTCTGCGAGGTTGAACTGCATCATAAATGCCTACGTGCTATCCGCGTTGTCGTTAGAAGGCTCACGAACTTCCGAGAGGCCAGCGTACTGGCTTGAAAAATCTTTTGTAAGCAAGCAAAAGATGTTTCCAGTCTCAGGTTTTTCCCTTAAACAGCTTCCTGAAAGTTGTTGATTTCCATAGGCAGTTGATGGCATCCTCTTGGCTGCTGACAACGGCATCCCTGGCGTTCACGTATGCTTCGCCATGTGACTCAGCTGCCATTGAGCTGAAGTCTTTGTGACTTTGGTTGTGCCTCCTGATAGCTAATGTCAGACCCAGGCAGGCGATTTGCAAAGTTTTTTTCGAAGTCGTCAAAGTAGAAAGCGCCGACCTGCATTTTTAAAACCAGACTTCTTGAAATTTGCTTCAGATCATGATTACGGATGGCTTCTCCTAATCATTGAGAACAATTTAGATCTGTGAGAATCTGCGGGCGCGTCAGTGAAGATGCTCTGACCAGATGCGAGAGAGGAGGGGCTGACACAAATTCTTTAGGCCTAGTTCAACGATGGATCCAAGGTGACCGCATGCATCCTGTGCGTCCTCTGCGATCTCTTTTTCATCCAGCCGTCTTCTGCTCAATGCTTGGACAGGCCAACAACAGCCCCCGCCGGCCCTTAGCATGACAGGAGGAGGATACTGGAGGTAGGAGCAGTAGACACAGTCTTCTGTTGCGTATAGGACGGCTGTTTGTTTTGTTGCTTTAAGTCACTTCATCTCCATTGTCTTCAGTGCTGCTCACAGCCTGCAAGCACAAGTAGGAGTAATTGTTCAAATCGAGCTTCAGGGTGGCAAAGCTGAGACTTGTTGGCTTGTGGTTAACTTGGCAGGCTGTCATACACCTCTTCTGCATGGCCCTCTCCCCAGCCCACGAATCATTGAGACAGACTGGGCATAAATCCGCGATTTGAGGTTGCGGCTGTGAAGATGGCACGGGCAGCAATGGAAGAAGATTCTCCGGAAAGACAACAAGGCTCTGAGCCAACGTCGCACTCTGAATTGAATGATTCTTCGGCTTAGGTTGGTCTGGGCCTTCATTGAAGGAGACAAAACGCTTGGATAGAGACATGCTGATGTCTCTGCGCTTCAACATGGTATGACAAGCTTGAGTTTGGAAGATCTTGGGAGGATGTTTCAGATTTCTGGAAGCGGGAGAGAGCCAGACGGCGTGGCTTGATTGAGCAGGACCACCAAAAACAGTCTTGGCATCGTACAGTTTGCTGGTGTAAGTTGCAGGAGGAGGAAGAGGACTGGACAACATATGCGTTGAATATGTGGCAGCAACCGTTTTTGTGCCAGCCCTACTGCCATGAGTCAGCTATAAGGATGCGAAGCCTCGTCTCAGGCCCAACTTGATGAATACCGTCGTATTTTTGGTTGAGACGGTGCCTCACTCAGGGTGACTGCTTCCTAAGAACTTCTGCGTTGGCCTTCCCTGGCCAAGAGAGAGTTTGCCACCGTTCGACTTGCTCACCTTTGATCCAAGAGAACTCGAAGAGAAAACCTTCAGAGCTTTCTACTCGGAGCGTTTGTGGTGCTGGGTTGCCTGACCATCCCGGCCTCAGCGCTTGGCTTTGTTCCAGTAGTTCTGGTGCTGGGTGCAACTCTCAAGATTTCCAAATGCTCTCAGAACAGCCTTGATTCTCGTTCCTTTCTTCCAGACGGCTTTCATCCACCCACAAGTGGCAATAGAGACGTGTGCATTTGGGGTGGTGGGTTGTCTGCAGAACGAGTGAACAGGAGGATCCGAAAACGTAGTCCTTCCGTGTGAGTATGCCGCGAAGCCAACCTGAAAAACAGAAGCTAAAGATGCAACTAGCTGACCTGGTTTGTCTGTGTCAGAGCAGAAGGCTCAGGGCTCAAGAGATGTTTCACAATTTGTCGCTGCATCGTCAAGGAAAGCTCTCCTTAGCAGCTGCGTGGGTCAAAGTTTTCATTGTCTTGGAAGTTTTCAAAACATGCCTGACGTTTCCATCTCTGGCAGTTGCCTGGGAAGGGCGATAGATGAGGACTCCGACCTTGATTCAGAGGTCAACATTCAGGTCTCGCCGCAGCACAGCATCCAGAGCTTGAAATCGACCGAGGTGTCGAGTATGGAGGCATGTGGTTTGTGAACCGAAGCACCGCATCAGCCATGTGTGGTATGCTAGGTGCCGGTTTAGGTCTGATGCTGCGTCTTTGCGATATTCTGCCGAGATTTCAGGAGAGTCCTGGCTACTTTCAATCGCAGTGGTCTGTCGTCTTCGAGTGTGCGGGCCACTATTTAGCCTTGCTCCTTTGGAGGCCTCAGCGGTTGGTTTTCCTGGACGTCGCCTGTATAGATCAGGACGTTGAAGTCTTGAAGGGTGAGGCGCTGATAAGCATGGGTGCTATTCTGCCACTTGGCCACCCATTGGCCACCCACCTGTTTCAATTTTGGTTTGAAACACAGTTCTGTGGTTTCAAGTTTCACTTGGTTGAGGACAATTTCTTTTGGCCAGTGTTCCCTTCCAAAGGAAGAGCTCGTCATCGCTGCAGGTGTTTTGGGATGCCACCTGGAACACGAGATGCTTACCTGTCCAACCTTTTTTGGGGTAATACCTAAACCCTAATCTGTAAACCACCTACACCTGCTGGAGCCACCTTGTGACAGTTGCACCCAACCTGGCGGTAAGAACCCGGTGTCGTTCAGGCAGGCATCAAAAGTCCGAGGGGTTGAAAAAAAAGCACCTAACCCTAAACCCTAATCCTTAGAGTCTTAGAGGGTTGAAATCATAATGATTCCGGTGTGTCTTCGAGTTGGCAGCATTTCTGCGTGGCCATGAGCGAGGCGAAGCAAGCCCCGACCTTCGAATCCACCCAACATTAATGGGGCCAGTCCTAATTGTTGCCCATTTGGGCTTATGCTTGCTGCTCTTGATGCTTCCACTGTTTCTCAGATGGGGAGACAGCTTGGGGGCATCAAGTGGACTTACTCTGTTCGCAGGCATCTTGATATCTTTCACCATTCTTGTCGATGTTGGTCGCGCGTTTGCCCGTGATCTGGACTTGCTGCAGAAGAGTCTGGCAGAGTTCCGGGTCGAAAATGCCAAATGCTTCTGTTGTGACTCCAACCACGTGGATGCATGGGGAGGACGCCTAGCTTGCGACCGCGCAGTGTTGCTTCGGTGTATTTTGTGTGGTTTGGAGGCACGGAGGAGTTTGACCACCGCGTGCAAGGACCAGTAAGGAAGACCTTGCTTGGACACCGGACCAGCCCGTCACACTTGTATCGACGCACAGTAGAAACTGCCTGTCCTGTTATGTGGCTTTTCTTGGATCGGCTGGCCATGTTCATGACAACTGAGTCGTGGAGGACGGTTCCAAGAGCTGTAGAGGCACTTCTGGCGGGCCTCGGTTACTGGCTGGCCACTATCCCCACAGTTGTAATGTTGTCCTTCGTCATGGCTTACGCGCGGGCAAAACAGGATCGTGTGCTTTTGGAAGGGCTGCGCACAGCGGGGGTGGTCGCTAGCGCTGGCGGTCTTATTGCCCTTGGTGTTAGCCTTGAGCAGCTCATAATTATGGAATTTACAGAACCTGCAACTTTTTTCACCTTGCTGTGGCACAGTCTCTGATCTTTTGCAGCATGGTGATGATCACCATTGTCACCAGGCATTGTTTTTCCAGGGCGCGAATCCTCGCCTTAGCACTGGGAAGCTGATAGTCCTGTTTCGCAGAAACTGTCCCGAAACATCCTGGGTGTGATGTTACCGTTCCAGCCGTTCTCTCCTTTAGCGGCAGGTTTTAGGGTCCTCTTCTGCGTGCTGTGAAACAGCCTGCAGATTGCGGTAGATCTCTCGCCGTATGTGCTCTTGTGTACCGGGCGAAGCATGGCAGCTGCGTAACATGGGGCAACGTCCGTTTTGTTTGCAGAAGGACTCAAGGATGCGAATTTCCTCACTGCAGCTGGTGTAGGGCTTTGATTGAAAACCGACTACAGGCGCAGACTGTTGCGATCCTGTTTGTCAACTACAAGGTGCTTCTGATGTTGTGAGTTTTAGAGCAGCCTGTGTGAAAGTGAACGATCACCGCAGTTCCCTTGACCAGGGTCAGCCATGGATGAAGGGAGTAGTAGAGAATCGTGCCGGCAACTTGGTCAATGCCGGCTTGAAACCTTGAGCTAAGCAGCTAAGTTCAACTTGTGCTCAGGCTCTGTTTCTATCCGTGGTGGTCGTGGCTGGAAGCGTTGCCGCAGCGGCGTTCGAGTCTTAGTGCTGGGAACTCCTTGATCTCAGGCTTAGAGCCTTTCAATGCTGAGGGTGCTTGGCCCGCGAAAGCAAAATTGCAAGTACCAGAACAAGGCAAGCATACTGGAAGCCCGGGAACAAACTCATGTGGTCCAGAAGGGAATGTTGCTGCTCCACATGCCCAAAAACAAACTAGCGCCCAGACCGCACAAGCAAATCAGAACAATGTTCATGCGTTTGGTGGTGGCATCGAGCAATCGCAGTTGCCAGAGGGCAACGTCGTAGATGCGGGGCCGTACTTCATGTCACTGGCTGACTTGCCTGCTGGAAAGTAGAACTATGAGTGGCCAAGCTTGTTTTTGCAAAATAGGACACGAGCAAAAAGAGATCGATGAGAAAGCGGGCTGCAGATGAATCAGAAAAGTGAAGGCAGAGGGAGAGGCCGAGGTTGGCATAGACTCGTAGCTGGAGGCGCTGTTGGGGGCACGGGAAAAGTTCTGTGTGGCTCCAAGCCTGGCCCATAGTGTCCAGTCATCAAGACAAAAAATCGCTTTGAGCATGCGTGTTGTATGTCACCAGTGGGACAGGCCTCGCGGAATGCCAAGTTGGGAGGAACACTTTGGGGATGGGACGCTCCTGACTTGGGCACTTCAGGAGAACTCTGTGGCGCATGGGGCGCAATGGGTACTAACTGGGGCACTGGATGAGAGAAAGCGGCCTGCACTCCACGAAGGTCATGGGCCGCGAGGACCACATTTTTGTTCTCTCCGTGGAGCGTGCCGGGGGTTACTATGGCAGCACAGCGGGCGGACAACACTAATTTTTGCAAACGCACCACAACGAAGAAGGTGAACTAAATCTTTTTAAGCTGACTGTACATCTACTACATAAGCTGTACAACTTACTGGTTCTAGCTCTAGGGTTGGAGATATACGCTAACCTCATAAGATTGGGTACCTACTCAAAGCAAAGCGGGCTGCGGGCAGCATCATGCGCTCAACAATGCTTTCATGCTGTGGCACTCCCCCCCGCGCTGCACATTGCAGGGCGTACCCTATCTATACTTTTCCTGTCCCTCCAGGACAGGGAATCTAAACTATTGCTAAACCTTACTTGGCTTCTGTGAGACGGACTTGCCTTACCGGCGAAGTCTCCTTCCACCTCAAAAGTGGAATGCCATGTGGCATATAGGACTGCGGTTTTATATCTGTGACATGCTGACCGCACCCACACAAATCGGCTAATGACACTTTGTCAGGTAGCCTTAGGGCTTCTGTAGCAGTGTCTATAACGAAGCCAGTTGGGATTACTAAAGTCATGAATCCTCCGACCTGAGGAATTCATTGAACCCTAAGATGGACCAGGGGGCAGCCTTGCGTCAGCTTGAAAGAGCCTAACGAGCGCTGGTGATCGGGACTCTGCAGTAGGCCAGTCCACATTGCCACTACTTCCTTGTGGCTCACTAATGAGCCCCTGGAGGGTACTTTGGGCAATGTGCGCGCCTAATACTACCGTCAGGCATCGACCACTGGTCCTCCTCCCGGTCAGGCTCAATCACTGAGCCTTGATTAGGCTCACGCACTGAACCTTGAACATCTGCCTCCGGAGATTGAGATCTGAGGTGCGACGGGGAGAATCTGTTGTCGTGGTCATATGGGTCCGGTTGTCTATCAAACAACATTTGGTCATCATAGACCTGGGCCACAAGAGTATCTCTTTGCGTACACCTTGACTCAAAATTGGAGACATCGCGCTAACAATCTCATCATTGAGCACTAAGTACAAATCAAAGGGGGTATAGCCTGTAAAACATTTTTTGATCTGACCATTTCTTCACCTGTGGTAGATGTGGTCAGATGGGCAAAGTCTGTTCCACCGGACGTGCCTCTTCCTTTTGATCTGACCATTTCTTCACCGGTAATAGATGTGGTCAGATGGGCAAAGTCTATTCCACCGGACGGAGTTACAATCCATACTTTCACAGCACAGCCTCCGATATCACTTTGCCTGGTTTGTTGACGCTGTTCATATTCTCGGCAAGCTGCTGCTCTTGTGAACAGTTGTTCATCAACTTGGGCCTCCTCACGCCCTGGCAAACTGAGGGATGCCGAGTCGAGAGAACTTTCTCCACTACTCCTATTAGGGTCTTGACCACAGTCCAGATCAAATTCCCTGCGAGCACCCCGCTCATAATAGGCTGCAGACCTATTCGACTGCCACGGAGATGACTGGCTGGATGGTGCGCCTTGATCTTCATACTGACCCTCATTACTACCACTAGGAGCATCGGTGCTTGCCTCCTTATCAGCCCCACTATGGTGATCTAGCCCTACATACTCACTGGCATCACTTCCTTAAACCCTGGAGGCTTGGACACACGCATCCCGTACATCAACCGATACCAGAGCCGGGCAGTTCTCCCTACTGAGAGCCTGATCCTCAGAGTTGACTTGAAGTGCTTGTGACAGTCCCTCCAGGACTGGCGCTGACCTCGCTTGCGTTCTCGACTGGTGATGACGCCGAACAAGAGGCTGTCCCTTCACCAAACGCATAACTGAGATCCTGTTCTAGCCCCTCTGCTACTGAGGCTTTGGCCTTGGCTAGTCGCCGCGCGGCCAGATCAGGTGGCGGGGTATCTACCTCCTGAAGTACACTTGAACTATGAGATACCGACCCTGCGCCAAGTCCCAGATATGGAGTTTCGACTCTAAGACCAACCAAAAGGGGACTTAGAATCCTCCATGGGTTGACTTGGCTCATCAACTTGCTGCAGATTTGGCGAATTTAAATATTGGGGGGTCTCGCTCTCATTTAAAATTTCATAACTACCTTGGCTTTGACCCTGACTTTTTGACCCTGTGCACCACACCCTCCCAAACCTGCGGACGAAGGACACAGGTTCCAAGTAAAGGGCGCAGAACTGCTTGCAGCGCCAATGTGGGAGCTGTCAGGAAGAGCTACATGCTCTTATGCGCGCTGAGGTTGACATTTAGTGGCAAGCCACAGTCATCGTCAACCTGTGCGTGAGCCGGAAGCGACACCTCGCGACGATAAGGTCCTGAACGCGAAGTAAACTCAAAAAGACAACCAGGTTCCGACGTTGAGTCGGAATCACTATAGAGGGTCCCTCCCCGCGATAACCCAAAGTTTGGTCGTACTCCATTTGATGAAGATTGCGTTGGAGGACAACTTGACGCAGATTGTCGAACACCATTTTTATAGGGACCCCCAGATCTCATTCTCAGAGCAAGCCCACGTCGATTGAGTCCTTGCGCGACGCGCTTGCTCCAACGGTACAGGGTCAGCCTTCTGGCTCTTCCCAGGATGTTCCACCAGCGCAGCCGACCGCCAGTACTTCATCCTCGGAACCAGTGTAGCTCCTTCAGAGCCACCTGTCCAGGCATGTAATGCATCGGGTCTCCGATCTGAGGTGGATCGTTCGCGTAGTCAACGTGCCTTTGTGGTGGCGTACCGCTGCAATCCCGCCCGTTGCTGGACCTAGTCGAGGGGTTGCAGAGGTCGATCCTCTGCCCCATCTCCAAGTCGTGAGTCTGCGCCGCGACTGGGGGTGGTGCCTTCAGCTTCAGGGATGCTGTTCGAGTCTTCGCAGCCACAAAGGGATCAGCTGAAATTGCTTTTGCGCTTAGTCTTGCTGCCGGCATGCGTGTGCAGGCGGCCGCATGCCCCATCTCTGAGCTCATGTCGAGCTTCTGTTTCTGAAGACCAATTCCAACCCAAGCCACCTGGATTGGGGGGGCGGGCCCATGGAAGTTTGTGTGGCGCACCCTGCCCTGTATTTCCCCAATTGAGCGGCCCGGAGTGTTGAGCTCTGTGCTGGAGCCCAGACCGTTTCCTTAGGCCGGAGGGCGCCCCAGGTCGACACTCACTCACTCACTCACTCACTCAGTCACTCACTCATTCACTCACTGCAGAAGGTCTTGTCAAGAACTGCCGTGGAGGAGGAGCCACAACTGGCTCTGTTATTACTACGTGCTAGAAGCCAAGACATTGCGGCACGTCCAGAGGTTCCTCCAGAACCTGAGGACTGCGGGCGTTGGTCCACACCAGTTATCGAGAGCCTCTCGAAACCGGTTAACCCACAAAAAAGGTTCAGAAAGCAGCCATTCCCTGACTAGCTCCGCGCGTCGTTCGAAGTGAACCGTAGCAAATGAAGCTCTCGTAAACAATGGGAACGAAGGCGGGCAACAGCCTCTTTGATTGGCTTTTATAGGCACATTTTGAGGTGGAAGCTCCTGCTCAGACATATCTGCCCATGACTTCCTAGTAGGCCCACTCGGCCCTGCTGGGTCATTATCGGGCGTGACTGCGCTGGATGGTGGGAGAACGGAAAAGCCCCGGTCTACACTCTGAGGCTGGTGAGTACTAGGAGGCGGGTTAGGCGCTGATGCGGCCTCAGCACTGGTTAAAGAGGCGCCAGGCGTACGAGTCCTCGGAGGATTGACTGCTGGAACTTTGCGATAAGGCGCCTCATCCAATGTGCGACCGGCAAGAAGTCGGCTGCGCTCCCGGGCGTTCAGAAGCCTAGTCCTGTCCCCGTTGGCAGCAGTAGCGCTAGGAAGCATCTGAGGTAAAACCTGAAACACTAACTGAGCCCAGTCTACGGGAAAATTTGGCTGCTTAGCAGTTTGCCGCGAACTGGATGATTCTGACTGGACTGGCGCTGATGATTTGGTGCGGCGTCGGCCTTTTGCGCGTTCGACGGCGCGGACAATGAGTTGTCAACCTGACTGTCAGGTGCTACCTGATGAGGTCGAGACGTGGTCTGCTCGATATGAACTGTTCGAGAACTTTGTGTGCCAGGCGCAACTTGACTGCCCGGCTTTACGTGCGCGTTTGAAGCCGGAGGATCAGATGGACTCCAGGCAGGAGGCGTATGCGCATAGCGACAACTGTCACCGTACTTGCAAATCCAGTCTCGAAAAGTTGAAAATAGTTAACAGAAGTTTCGATTCTGAAATCCCACGCGCATCGCCGCCAGGAGAAGGGTCCCT